ATGAAGAAGAAGCTGATCACATATGCCTCCTCTAAATGTGCCAGTAACAAAAGAGAAGAAACCTCTACTCTTGCTTGAGCAGATCTTCGCGGAAAGACATGCAGCCACTATAAAATTATATTCTGTAGAAAACAGTCACTGCCTCCAAGAATTTGAAGAGCTTCAGATTTGGAGAGGCCCACAACTTTGATGAGCATGAAATGCTGTTTTTTTCATTTATTAAAAAATATGCTAATACATGTTAGTTGTAGAAATATTAGAAATAAAATTAAAAATAAAAATTATCCTCATTTCTATCACTCAGAAAAAACACTGGTAGTAGCTAATTTTATGTTATGTAAACTTCAAGTTTTAGAAGTATTTATAATATAGATAATAAATTAATATAATAGAAATATATTATTGTTACTACTATAAAATATGCATGTATACTGTTATATATAAATGTTTAACTTTTTAATTTTTGAATTATTTTCAAACAAAATTTAAATTTTACTATACAATTATTTCATAAACTGCCTTTTTCTTTTTTTTTAATCCTCATTCGAGGAAATGCTTATTGATTTTAAGAGAGAGGAAGGGAGAAAGAGCGAGAGAGAGAAACATGGCTGTAAAAGAGAAACATTGATCAATTGCCTCTCATACATGCCACAGCCAGGACCAAACTCACAACCTAGGTATGTGTCCTGAAAGGACACTGAACCCACGACCTTTTGATATACTGGACGACTCTCCAACCAACTGAGTCACACCGGCCAGAGCTATAAACTGCCTTTTTCACCTTGTAGATGTAGGGGGCATTTATCTTGCTGGTCTGAAACAGCATCCATATACCTATCCACCTCCCTTTCTGGGAAATGCTCTTATTACATGGTTTAAATGGAAGATGCCATCATCTTAAAGATCCCACCCACTCCCAGCCCCCATTGATTAATCTGTTGTTGTTCAAGAATGTCTCAGTCTGGCCAGGCAATAGTTCAGTGACCAGCCTTATTACTCTGGATGGTGCTCTCTCCTCCCACCTCCCCTCATTTTGGGTTGAGGTTCATTGGAGATCAGAAAGCTTGCTGAGGCTCAGGGGAAAGGCAGGAATGTTCCACAGGAGAAAAGGAGGCCCATGGAGGACTGAGGATCCTCTGTCTTCATGAGGAAAGAGCTGGAATAGAGGCCCAAGCAAGGATTAGCATGGAAAACATTAAGCAGAGTGCTTGCAACTGAGTAAATGTGCAATAAGTGCTAATAATTATTATCTCTATTACTCTAGCATTATATTTCTCTCATCTCCTTTAGATTTGCTTTTCTTGTACCCCTCCAATCCAGTTCATTCCAACTCATTCCCCAATGTCAACAAAAGTAATCTTTAAAAGTAAGTATCCTCAAAACAAATCTATAGGAACAGCAAGCAAATCAGTAAGTGTCTGGAGCCAGGTGAAGAGGAAGGAGAATGAACTATAACAGGGCACCAGGGGACTTTCTGGGATGAGAGAGAAATGATCTGTATCTTGACTGGCTGTGGTTTCATAGGTGTACCCATATGTCAAAACTCATCAAACTTTATAGTTAAAAAGATGCATTTTGTTTTACATAAATTTTACCTGAATAACTTTTTTTTTTAGGTAAGCAACCTCTCTGGTCATCCATTTCATTGCTGTATTTTCTCTTCTCCATGGCATTTATCAGTACACAAAATTATTTCATTCATTTCTTTATATGTCTATATCCCAACTCTTTCTCCCATCAGAATATAAACATTTTGCCCGGCTGGGCGTGGCTCAGCGGTTGAGCGTCGACCTTCTGATCCAGGCAATCGAGGTTCGATTCCCAGTCAGGGCACATGCCCGGGTTGCGGGCTCGATCCCCAGTCGGGGGCGTGCAGGAGGCAGCCGATCAATGACTCTCCCATCATTGATGTTTCTATCTCACTCTCTCCCTCTCCTTTCCTCTCTCTGAAATCAATAAGGATATATTTTTTAAAAAAAGAATATAAACATTTTGAGAGCAGGAACTCTGTCTGGTCCACCACTATAACTTCAACATCTACAACTATGCCTGGCACATATTAGGAGCACAATAAATTATTCTTGAGACTAACTGATTAAAATTCTTCAATGGTTATACCTCCAAATTATAAGCAAATTTCATTCAGTCTCATCATCCCTACTACCACCACTTCAAGGTACCATCATTTCTTGCCTGGATTATGCACTGATCTCCTTGTGTGTCTTTGCTTTCACCATTGCTCCTTCATTTCAGTCTCCACAGAGTGATCTTTTAAAAACTGAAATCAGCTCACCTAGCCGGCGTGGCTCAGTGGTTGAGCATCAACCCAGGAACCAGGAGGTCAGGGTTCAATTCCTGGTCGGGCCTCGGGTTACAGGCTCAATCCTTAGTGGGGGGGGGGGCCTGCAGGAGGCAGCCGATCAATGATTCTCACCATTGATGCTTCTATCTCTCCCTCTCCCTTCCTCTCTCTGAAATCAATAAAATATATTTCAAAAAAATTGAAATCAGATCACATTAATCTCCTGCTTTAAAAAATGTGGATAAGTTATGGTCTTAATATTTTTAAAATGTGCAAAAGTTATGATCTTAATATTATATAAACTAAAGTGTAGTAATAGAGCAGATATGAATCTCACAAATCCAAAAAATACTTCAACTATTAATGATGGAGTGGTGAGATAGCCTTGGAGCAAAATATTAAGTCTTCTATCTGCATAGGTTATCTCTTAAATGTCTACTGTCCCAGTCTGCATGCCTTTTATATCTGGTGAATCACTACTGCCTTCCTGCCATGGTAGGACAGATGAGTCTTCTGTGAGGTCACCAGGGTCTCATCTGATTGAACACACAATGCAGCTGTGACTCTCGAGGCCACCTTTCCAACATACTTCCAGAAAGTGACCCCTGGTCCCTCCTGCTCTGGAAACTCCAAACCTGACCCTCTTCTCTCAGCCAAAGTGAATCTCCTTGTCTTAGGGGAAAGGCTCTGCTTCTCTGAAACATTATGTGTACCCATAAGTCACATTCTCTTTTGCTTCTTTCCCCAAATTCTGTAATTTCTCTAAAGATATTAGGGTTGGGGAAACTAACGCTGGAGAAAGTGCAGGAAATGTATTTGTTCTATTCTGTCAATATCTCACCCTAGGTAAAGAAGTACCAAACTGCCAATATTGCCATTCTGTTCCATGGTTAAGCTAAACAATTCAGGGCAATTTACCCCCTTGTAAGCGATTGGTTCAGGGATGTACAAACTTAAGCCAGTTTGGGTTAATGAGATTCAAGGAGAGCCTTGGTAAGAGCTCTGGGAAAGAAACTTCCTCAATCTTTAATTCCATGGAAAGACAGGCTCTTTCTTCTTTAGCTGTGAGTGAGGAAGCACAGAGTTCCCACTGCCACTGGCATTCATATCAAGACAATAAAGATAACTGGATTTAAGTTAAAGCCAAAGCCGTGGATGGCAGAGCAAAGAAGCAGAAGGAACCTGTATCTTGATGCCATCATTCAGTTATGGGGTCCTGCCCTAACTCTATTGTTTAAATCAATGGTGAGTTGGCTTTTTAGTTACTTGCTGCTCAGTGCATCCTTCCTGATACAGAATTTGGTGCCAGGAATAGAAGTCATGCAAATAACAGACTCAGTGGGTTGTATGGTGGCCCCCCAAAAGATATCTCCACACCCTAATCCCTGGAATCTGTGAATGTTACCTTATTTGAAAAAAGGGTCTTTTGCAGATGTTAAGTTAAATTTTATTATTTTCAAGTTCAGCAGGATATTGAAGAAACACAAAGACATTTTAATAAAAAAGGTTCACATTTACCTTTATTACATGACCATTCCTCAAGATTAAAAAAGTCTTTTTCCAATAGAACTTCATAAGGCTCAGATACTTAAGGTATTTCTTTAAAAATTAGTTCAATGACTTATTTAACAATGTTACTAATTTCAGAAATTTATTTTTCTATGACTAAAACTCTAATCTGGGGATTTGAACACCTGAGTTCTGTCTTGGTCACTACACTGGGGGGTTTTGAATAGGACATGTCCTCCTCTGAACATTAATTACTTTATGGAACTATCAGCAGTTCCCAACTGCTCAGGTGCATCAGAATCCTCTAGGACCTTGTTAAAAATATCTATTTCTGGGCCCCATCCCAAGTCTACTGAATCATATTTTCTAACATTGAGGCCTAGGAATCCGTATTTTAAATTACCCAGGTGATTATGACATACAGCTAAGTTTGGGAACCACTGAATTAGGTTATTTTATGATTTCTGTTTCTTTCATCACTCTTTGTCCCATCTTTGCTACTAGACACTGTGCTAAAAAACAAAAACAAAACCACAAAATAAACCAAGACCATGATTTAATCATTTTATAATCTTCCAGCAACTACATGGTGCCTGGTATGTAGTAGGCACTCAATAAGTATTTGAAGAATTAATTAATGGTGATTAAATGACTATTATTTCATGTGGACCCCAATCACCTATGGGTAGAGAAATCTAAAGAGAGAGAAAGTATTATAAACTTTTACCTGATTAATCTTGTACTCCCTACTATTAATCTTGTCTGTCTTACTACATACTTCAAATAATGGGTTATGTGAAAGAGGTTAATAAATATTTAGAAACCCAATAAGAAAGCAGTTGAGATTCTACTGAGGGCTGGATTATGTCACAATATTTCCCAGTGGCAGTGACAGCTGAGGAAGGTTTGTGATTCATCAGGAGCTAGTTATCCTCTCCTTGACTTTTCCAGGTCCAGAAAAAGCCATATACTGACCGAGTGACAGATGTTCTTGGGCCATGCTGCAGGTCTCTCAACCTGCAAAGGGCCACGTCAGGTTTCTGTGTGGTTCCAGTGGGAAGAGGCACTCATCTTCTGTTAGAAGTTACCCATAAATTCACCAGCAATGGGTGTCAGTCAAGCAAAGTATCCCCAGAACATCTAATGCCACCTTTTGTGACCCCATAGTCTCTTTTCCCAGCTCCCTTCCTCTATACTCTAGTGACTACCCCTTGGGCTTCCCTCGTTCAGACACTGTCTGCTGGCCTTGGAAGGTACCGGCTCAGGATGAAATCTGTCACAGGGGTGGGCAACTTAGCCAAGGGGAGGTAGAGGAGTTTGGCATCCAGGCCAGGGTTGTAGCGAATGCGGGGGCTCCGGGAAACAATGGCATGTTCCATGCTGTTGACGACATCTCTGATTTTTGGATCTGCCAACTGCATCATGTTTGTTAGCTTTTCAGTATCTGTTTGAGCAGGAGGGAAAATAAAGGGCTCTGTTATTCTTCATTAAAGATGGTTCCTTCTGAATTTCATCCAAGCTCCCTTTCCAACATATCACTGATCTAACATTCCAGGTAGATCAACCACACCCTCCAGGTTGTCCCTTACACAAACACCCTATAAATAATCTTAATTTTCTTCCTGAATTCAAGAATTGTGTATTGCCTGGCAGGGCATGGCTCAGCAGTTGAGCATTGACCTAGGATCCAGGAGATCACAGTTCAGTTCCCGGTCAGGGCACATGCCTGGGTTGCGGGCTCGATCCCTAGTCGGGGGCGTGCAGGAGGCAGCCGATCAATGACAACTCTCTCATCATTGATGTTTCTATCTCTCTCTCTCCCTCTCCTGAAATCAATAAAGATATATATATAAAATTGTGTATTGCGCTAATTCGGAAGAATATATGCAGCCCTAGTTCACTGCAGTATTCTTTACAATAGTCAAGATATGGAAGCAACCCAAGTGCCCATCAACAGACAATGTATAAAAATAGTGGTGGGATATACATACAATAGAATATTACTGTGCCACAAAAGAGTTAAATCTTAACATTTGCAACAACATGGATGGATCTAGAGGGCATTATGCTAAGTGAAATAAGTCAGACAAAGAAAGACAAATACCATATGATTTCACTTCTATGTGGAATCTAAAGACCAAAATAAACGAACAAAGAAAATAGACTCACAGATACAGAGAGCAAACTGTGGTTGCTAGAGGGGAGGGGGTTGGGGGACTTGGGCGAGAAAGGTGAAGGATTAAATACAAATTGGTAGTCACAAAATAGTCACAAGGATGTAAAGTACAGCAGAGAGAATATAGTCAATAACATTGTACTATGTATGGTGCCAGATAGGTACTTGAAAATGGGGGAATCATTTTGTAATGTTTATGATTGTCTAACCACTATGCTGTACACCTAATATAATATTTCAACTGTAATTGGGAAAAAAATTGTGTATTGAATTTCTACTATTGCATTAGACTAGCAACAGAAAAACAGTGCCCAATTCTGCCAGCTTATTAGTTGTGTGACCTTGAGCTTAAACGGTCATCATCTGTAAAATAATAATAATACCTGTCCTAGAGAATAAGAAATATGAATAAGAGCAGGGTAGACAGTGGAGGATGACAATAGAAAACAAATGTATGTAAATACATAGAAAAACAGGAAGGAAGGAAGGAAGGAAGGAAGGAAGGAAGGAAGGAAGGAAGGAAGGAAGGAAGAAGAGAAAGAAAAAAATGTGTCACAGTCTTTAGGGTAGCTTCTCCTGAAATCCTTCCAGCAGCAGGAAAACATGCCGGCATCTGGGCGGAGTCGAAGCTGGCCTCAGGGGTGTGCGACAAGCTGGTTGAACCTCATGGGTTTTCCTTTACAACCTTTTCTGAACCATCAAACCTCTCAAAGTGCAGAACATCCCAGGAGCCTCACAGGAACATCCTTGCTTACAGAATCCTGCTGCTTATGTGTCCAAAAGTATTCTGAAAACAGGATTTCTGTTAATACGTCTGCTCCTAGGAGTGGAGGCGACAGCAACTAGAATTAGTAAGTCGTCCCCACCCATCCTTTCAGCCATCCAGCCGCTGCATCTTTCCAAAGAGCATCCTGGGAGCACCAATGAGGTGCCAGCTGCTCTACTGGGTGCTGAAGACAAAAGAGCCCTCGCCTCGCATGACACCACTATGTAGAAAAGTCAGCCACAGAAATGACAATGATGTTATTATAGGCAGGAGGGTAGGGAGCTGTGGAAGCGCAGAGGATGACCCTGGGGAAATGTTTTTAGGTCTATAAAGAGGTTTGGATTGGGGTGAAGTTTTCAGGTCTCTTGTCTTCCTGGTGACCTGCATGTCTCAGCAACGCCAGGAGACCTCAGGTTCTTCAAGTGGTACAATATACAGAAAGACCACGTTCACCTGGCCTGACGGCCACGCCATCCACCCCCAGTCCCTGCCTGACCTCTGCCTTTGCTGCAAGGAAAGGTCACTTGTGAACATGCTCTGCCTGGACACCTTTACCTCTGCAGACTCTGAGGTCCTCCATGTTCAGAATAGCAGCAAATGGGCTGANGGAAAAATGTTGTCTGGCTGGTGGCATTACTAGTTACTGGAATTTTTTTTCCTCCTACTTACTCCCTAGAGTTCCCAAATTTTCTACAAAAGCATGCAGGGAAAAATGTTATTAGAAAATAGTAACCCTGCCCTTGCCTTGGTCATAAGGCCATTGTGGGGCTCAAATGATCTCACAGACAGGCACCTCGTAAGGCTCTCACAGATGTGGGTGGCATTGTTAGCATCATGGAGATGGGTACAAGGGACCCAAGTGGTCCAAGCCTGCCGAAACTCACCACACAAACAGGAGACAAGGCACGAACGAGATACACTTATGGGCTCTGATCTGCGCCGGTACCCTAGTGCACATACTTCAGTGGCAGCCCCAAGCACTCTGGAGGAAGTGGTTCCTGAGAGCCATACTTCAAGACAAGGGATTAAAACTTGAAAACAAAGAGGGAGCAAAAGCAGTCCTGATTTTGGAGATGGTCTAGAAGGCAAGGAATTCATCCACTCTGGGCAGAACACTGGTATGCAGTTGATGAGGGCAGGACAATGTCATTCAAGTATCCTTAACCCTGCTTTGAGGAACTTCCCTTTCTGTTCCTAGAAAGAAAACTGTTGCAGTAAAAAGGGCCAAACTACATTTTGTGGTCCCCCAAAGAATCATGCTGACTGTAAAGTGATAATGTCTTAGGAAGCCAACACTCTGTCCTCCATCCTTGGGCCTGACACAGAGTCCACTGCCAGCAGGTCACAGGCAGGGAGGCAAGTGTCAGGAGACTCATTCAAGATGCTCAGGGCTGAGGGCACTAACTCAGAGCCAGGGAAGGCGGTGTGAGCTGATGAGGGCGAGGCAAGCTGATGTGATAAGGTAGCTTTAGAACTAGGCTCTGAAAGATGAGGAGGACCACATAGCCAGTGGGATGAAAGAAGCTACCTGAGACATAGAAGTAGCATATGGCACATTCTTTCATTATTCTTTCAAAGGTTTATTGAGGTCTTATTTTGTGCTGGGCACCCCGTTAGACAACAGAGTAGGAAGGGGGACAGAGGTACCCGTTTAACCTGTCACTCTCCTAGATAGTAGGGAAGAGCATGGGCTTTGGATTCAGGCAACTGGGAAACATTTGTGTTATTTTGAGAATTAAATATCAGGGACCAGGCTTTGGCACTTATGGACCCAATAGTTGAGTTTCATCTTCTCTTTTGCCAGGGACAGGTCCTGGGCTTCTGATCTAGTCCCTCCCCAGGGGAAAAGGGGGCCAAAAGGGGAATTTTTGGTGGCCTCCCTGGTAGGGTTGAGATGAAAAAGCAAATGGCAGGTGACTGTGTCGCTTGTAGCTGTGGCTCATCTCTAGGCCAATTAGGACAAGAATACTGTGCTCTGTTCACATTCCTGAACTGGTGATTCTGTGTGCTGCTTCTCTGTGACTGTTCCCATGTTAGGTTGCTATTAACTAGCCATTTCCAATATAATTCTATTTTGGGTATAAATATCACTCCAAGATACCTAGCCTGGCCCAGGGTTCACAGGCCACGGGCCTATCTGATTGGCCGTAACTTGCCGTCCTTTCTGCCCAGCAATGCTGCATGCGCACTCCTAAATACTTCTTTAGTCTGTCTCCGCAGTGCCTGACTCCTGAAATACTACCCTCCCCCACTACACACACAGTTCCCATAAGCACCAGGACTTGTAAGTCATGCCCTTGTCATTCCTTCTTTGGATTTCTGCAATAGTTTCCCAGTTGGTTTCATGAGGGTGGCCTCACACTTCCTACGCCTGCAAATCTGATGCCGCTTATCTGATCAGGTCATTTCAGAGTCATTTGAAAGGCTCTCCAGCTTATCTGATCAGGTCTTTTCAGAGTCATTTGAAAGGCTCTCCAACGCCTTCAGGATAAGAGCCAGAGCCACACTCCTTGGTGGAGCCATCGAAGGCTCCTATGACCTGACTCCTTAAATCTCTCCCAGCCTCATTCAACCCTTCACACTTCCCTCGGGCCAAACTAATACTAAAGTGAATGGCTAAGGTTTAATTCTCCGAACAATCCATGAGAGAGGAGTGATTACACTTTATAATGAAGAAACCAAAGCTTAGACAGTTGTGTAACATAGTTGGGGGGACGGCTGTAACCTAAACTCTGAATCCACACCATCTCCAAAAGCACGCGGTGCTATCAGGTCTCTGAAATGCTGCTCATGCTCTTCCCTCTGTGGGAAATAGCTGCCGTCTTTTTCCCTTTGGGTTTATTCTTCAAAACGCCCTACGGCCCCCGTTGGCACCTCTGTGAAGGCTTTTGTGACACCAGAATTAAGACTCTGTTTCCTATGTATGTCCATTGTTGCACAGTTGGTTCTCATGTGGTATTTGCTTTTAGATCTCCCCTGGATACTTTGTCTCATCTCTCTATCCCCATAAACACTAGCTAAACTGAAGTGGAAATCAGAATATAATCACTTGGAAAAATTTTTTTACCTAAAAGTAGTCAAATGGCTGCCTAAAAATTTTCCTCTGCAGTCATGGGGTAGACAACAGATGAATCAACACATGGTATTTTATAAACCCAACCATTACTATTCATTAGAAGAATGAGAGCAGTTTTTTGACAGGTGCTTTTCAGAGGAAGTTTGTCTTTCTCTACGTTCCTTTAAAACCCACAGAAGGCTACAACTTCTGCCTGCATTGAGCCACTTTATGTACTTAGAAAGCGGCCTTGTGAGGTTTTCAGACACTGGCTGAACCTGGGTTTCACCCTAGCCCCGTAGCAGCCCCATAAATAACTTGGACCACTCTTTGCTAAGGGAGAGTTTTAGAATGATCTCACAGAGGATATATATTATCATCTCCCACCCCCCACTGCCCATCTATTTCCCTTGCTTAGAGCAATTGCTGTAAATTTTTCTCTGGGAAGCCTTGCCTCTCCTGCTCTGAGTCCTTTGGTCTGGGCAGAGCACGTGACCCAGCCTGAGCCAATCAGATCTTCACATTCCCCTGGGCACAGTGACGAGCTCAGGGTTTGGTACATCCTGCTGTTCCCTCTGATCATGCCATCTTAGGCCCACCAAGTCAGAGTGAATCTTAGGCCCTGTGGGGAGCTGCTGAAAGAACTATCCCTGGGAGGAGATGAGATCTTGCAGCCCTGAGACCCCACAGGGGATAGAGCTTGTGAGACTGGAGCCAAGACAAAGTAGAGTCAAGAAGTAGGGTAAAACCAGGTCCTAAAAACATTACTTGTGGACTTGATCAGGCTATGCCTGAAGATCAACTCCCTCAATTTTTTAGTCATGAGTGTCGAGAAATTTCTTTTCTCCTTAAATATTTTGGGTTGGATTTTCTGTCACTTGTCACTGAGAAAGTTTCAACTGGTGCAAAATCCTTCGGGCTTTTTTTCTTCTCACAGAATTCTAATATGTCCGAACTAAAATATTACTTTCCTCAAGGATTATTTCTCTGAATATTTTCTCCTAAATCAATGAATGAATGATACCTCCGTCCACCAGGCTCCTTGAACTATAAACCTAGCACTCATCCCTGATGGCTTCCTCTGTCTTCCAGTACTAGCAGGTCTAATATACACCTGGCATCTATCAAATTCTTTCCATTTTCTGCATTTTCTCTCTACTCCAAGCCAGCCTCAAGTCTAGCCTGGAACACTGTAGCAACCAGAGCTGTCTTACCTAATCACAAATCACATCACATCCTGAATCGCCAGTGTGCTTTGATGCTCTAATTTATCCAGTTCCCCTCAGCTCGACACACTGCTCCCCATCCTCTGGCATTCTTCAGGTATCTCTAAAAACTTTCCCTGCCTCAGAGCCTTCCTGCAAAAACCTCCCTGCCTAGCCCTTCTTCTCACTTTTCAGCAATGCCTAATTTATTCTTCCCCAAAGTCAGCTCAGAGGAGCCCTCCCCTACACTACAGTCTAAACTAGAGTCCCAACTCCCAGCCCCATTCTTCTGTCCTGGCCCTATGCTTCTCTCCATGGCGCTTACCCACATTTGTCATTACATATATGTGTGTTTATTGAGATCGGTCTTCCCTACTGGGCCTTAAGCTACAGGGAGTGAGCTGTAAGCCCTGCTGCTTGATCCACTCTCACTCCCCAGCCCCACGCAGTGCGTGGCATGTGGTGGGTTCTAAAAAAAAAAGTGTATTAAGTGAATAAATGGTTGTCATAGTTTTAGCATCTTAGTTTTTTTACTTTGTTGATATATGATGTCCAGGAGATCATGACACTGAAATGAAACCCGCTGGGCAGTTAGATACCTGCCATGCTTTTGACTGCGTGATTGCATTTAACCCATCTAGAGTTCCTGGGTGTGTTTCAAAAAATCCATCACTTTGGGTTGTGGATACTTACTACCTAAGAACCTCTCTTTGCAACACAAGAACTTACAGCTTGTAAGCACTAGTACGAGAGAGAGAGAAGGGGTCTCGCTCAGTCTAAGGGAGGGATAAAAACCACTTTAAATGAAATTGTTCTAAGCACTTTACATAGTGACTCACTGAATTCTCATAGCTCGGTACAGGTGAGAAAACTGAGTAACTTGCCCAAGGTAAGCAGGAGAGCTGAAATTTGCACTCAGACAGCCCCGTTCCAGAGTCTGGGAGCTTAACCACAATAGTAAATTGTCTTTCAGAGGTTATTCATGGGAGCCACTTAAAGAGCGGGGAAATCTAGGCTAGGGAAATTCATAGCTAGACCACTGAGGTCCAAAGGGAGTGGGAACGGGACCGAGAGGCTGGCTGCTTCACTCAAGCCCAAGAGAACCTCCTGAGTCAGCAAAGCAGCAGCCCCACCTTCTTGGCTGGCAGCCGGGTCACAGAGAAGCAACTAGAGAACGAAGATGCCTGCCAAGGAGGGGCCAGCTGATTGTGCCGGAACCAATTTCTGTTGACAGGTCAGAGGCTGCCTCCCCAACAAAAGCAGCTCCAGAGGTGGCTCTGAGGTGCTGGGAGCCAGAGAAATGGAGAGAACTAGGAAGTCTTCTGGATCATCCTCTCCTGAAATCAAACCTCAGCTTTGAGATTAGATGATCTGAGTGAACATGGGGATGTCTGGTCAGAATGGCCTTCTCTCTCCTTCCATGAAGTGCTCTAAGAGGTCTTTTGGCCAATTCCTCCACTGCACCCACAGGACACCCCCTCCTCTTGAGCCCCAATGGCCAGGGTTCCATTCATCCCTCAAACTGGAAGACACGCACAAAGTTTGGGAGCAATATAGTAAACAGCTGTAATGGCCCTCCTCTAACCAAAAACACCTGAGGGTCACAGGAGACCCTTAGCTCAGAGAGGAAGAGATCTGCCTAGAGCCCCTTCCTTTTAAATACTTGTGTGCTCCTTTTCCTCATTAATTTAACAAGCACTTAGTGTGTGTAAGACATTTCACAGATATTAATCCTCACAGCAGCCCTGTGAGGTGGGCACTCTCATTAGCTCCATTTTATAGATGAGAAAACTGAGGCATAGCACGGCTAAGTAACATGCCCAAAGTCTCCTAGCTGGTAGGTGGTAGAGCCAGGATTTCAGAGCCAGGCAGCCTGGCTCAAGCTGTGCTCTTAATAACTTCTCTGTGCTTATGTCAGTGCATCTTCAGCTGATTCACCAGCATAATGGCTTTTGGGGGGTAGATGCCAGGAGTGGGCAGCATCCCTAGACAGCGTCTCCCCTCGCACTCCATCTTCCCAGTAGCTATAGTTCTGTCACTCCCAGCAGTTGCCCACTTGGTCTCTGTTCTCACATCCCAGCTCTTCTACTAGCTGTGTGCTCTTGGGCCTTTAACCCCTCTGAGCCTCCATCCCATCATCTGTAAAATGAAAGTGACCCCCCAGATCTCCCTGTCCCTCTCAGAGACCCCTCTCCCTGTGAGGGCAACTCACAGGCATGGAAGTACTCCTCTCCGTAGCTATCTCTGGTCTCCTGAGGCAGCCGCTCCCACAGCTTCCGCAAGCGCGACTCCATGCTATCCTTGCCCAGAATGGATGTCCGATAGTTCCCCGGCTCAATGATGCTGACTTTCACCCCAAAGTAGTGGAGCTCACGCCTGGGAAAGAAGAGTTGGATTCAGTCTGGGACCCCAAGATGACATGACACAGGGTCATCAGAGAGTCACCTCTGAAACCTCTATAGGTGCTGATCTCAGGAAACTGGAGGTACCCTCCCTACCCCTGCACCAGGCCAGCCTTTGCTCTCATGCAAATAAGCCCTGTCTAGGGCCTCAGCCCTTTCCCAAACCTGGTCTTGGGGCAATTCACATTAGGCAAACCCAGCAGGAGGAAGTTAACAAAGAATCTAGACTAAAGCCTGACTTTCCACCACATCCCTCCCTCTCAGCCCCACACCCAACACTCACGTAGCAAAGGGAATGAGAGGTCAATGCAAGGCTCACATCCTCCTCTGAGGGTCTCCCGGGAGCACATCTGTCCCCAAACCTGTCTGTCTGTTTGAGAGACAGAGTCCCTCCTACTCCCACAGGCCCAAACAGGCTTTCATTTATTCTAGGACAGCTCCAGGGAAGGCAGGAATATAGCCTCCTGTGGCCACTCCTCCTCTTCTCATCCTTTCTTCTCTTGGTCCTTGGGGAAGGCCCCTCAGGGCAGGCCTTCTTCCTACTACTGTTCAATTTTCCTTTCTTCAGAACTCCCCTGCCCACACACTGTCGTGCTCCCCACACCCAGCCCTCTCTTCCTGAGGGACTCCCACCCAGAGTGGTTTGGGACCACGGCCCAGTCACCTGATGCTGTCGGAGAAGGCCTCGACACCAAACTTGGAGACACAGTAGCCACCGCCAATGACAGCCACACGACCACCAGAGCTGGACATGTTGACGACCCTGCCCCGGGCTTTCTTGACCATGGGTAGCATGTGGAGGGTCACTTCAATCAGTCCCACCAGGTTCACATTGATCACCTTCACAAAGTCCTCTTTGGTCAGCCATTCATTGGGACCACTGGGCAGGCCTATACCGGCATTGTTCACCAGGGCCCAGAGGCCTGGGGGCAAGGCAGAGAAAGAACCACACAGAAATCAGCAGTGTCTCTGGAGAAGCACTAGGGTCTACTATACCCACCAGCTCAGGGAGTTGATGGTTGAGCAATTGCGCAAAGCACAAGCCAGCCAGGCTGGGGCCTGGGGTGGGGAGCTACGACAGCCCAAAGGAAGATGTGCCTTTTACTAATTAGTTTTCCCTAAAGGGTCACTTTTTCTGATTCACACAGTCTGCCAGCTAGCTGGGCCCTGTACCAATTAACAATCCAAGCTTTAGTTTAATTTAAGCTATTAGCTCTGGGAAAAGAGATACCATTTTCATACCAATGAATAAATGTTTGAATTTCTTGCCCCATTGTGCTTCCCCCTTAAGTATAAGAAACCAACTCCAGCCCTGGCTGGTTTTGCTCAGTGGTTAGAGTGTTGGCCTGCGGACTGAAGGGTCCCGGGTTCGATTCTCACCTCAGTTGCAGTCTCACCACGGTCAGGGCTTGCAGGAAGCAACCAATTGATGTGTCTCTCACACTGACATTTCTCTCTCTCTCTCTCTCTCTCTCTCACCACCCCCACCTTCCACTCTCTCTGAAAAGCAATAGAAAAAATGTTCTCGGGTGAAGATTAAAAAAAGAATAGTAATAAAAGAAACCAACTCTATTATACACATTACCAAAATGACTTCATTCATTCATCCATTCACACATTCATTTATTCATTCATGTACCTAGTCTGTCAGATACAGAGGAAGGTGCTAGAGACATAAAGTGAACAAGGCAGGGTTTTATCACTCAAGGAACTCACAAACCAAAGAAGAAATAAACAACATTTATAAATAAATATATGAAATATTTAAATAATTATGGAAAAATGTGAAAAGGGTTCTCTGAGATCATTAAATTGAGTTGGTATAAATGGAGAGAAATAACATTAAGTATTGTCATTCAACTCTGCAGGGACCCAGGCTTAAAGAGCTCAAGTTCTAGTCCTGGTACTACCTCTAGCTTTGGACATGTCACTTTCTCTGAGCCTCAGATTCTGTGTTGACTGGACTAGAACAGTTGTTTCCAGCCTGTGGTTTGCAATCCTGAGAGCTTCCCAGACTGAACCTCAGAACCTGCTAAGGGAGGGAGATGCAGGAGAAGCTCAGCTTTCATTTGTTTTACTTATTGAGTTTCCAAGTAAAATTCTACTTGGAGGAGGGTGTTTGATGCTAAAAAGCAAGTTGGAAAAGCTTCTAAATGATCCCCCAGAATCAGATCTTTCTTTCAGGGATTCCATGAGCCTCACCCACTGCCCTGGCTCCTTCCCTTTCCCTCCCCTATGCCACCACCCCACTTTGGCCTCTGTAGCCTCAAGTACTCCTCTGGGCACACTTTCTACTCCCTCCCGAGGGCATGTAAACACCACTCATGGGCCACCCCTTCCCATGAGCCTGGGCTCCACACAAAAGCCATGCCCTCACCCTATCTTCTTGCCTTCCTCCAATTAGAGAGACCCCAGGAGACCAACTGACTGGCAGGACTCAGAACCTTCCCAGAGGGGACTCTCTTGTCTTATAGAGGAGGAGATGAGGCTCCTGAGACCCAAAGACTATAAAACCCAAGTGGTCTCTGCCTGTGGAGAAGAAAACCACACTTGCTACTACCTCTGATCATCCCTGGTAAGCAACTCTGCCTGCTTGGGAATCAGGACAATCTTAATTTTTTTTCTGCAAAGAGCAACTAGAGAACTGTCAGAGCAGGGGAAACAGCTTTAGAGTCAACCTGTCATGTCCGAAGACTCTCAGGGAAAATAAGAAAGTATGCCAGAACGCCCTTCCCTCATTTCCCAATGTTCCTTCGACTGAGGATGTTGCCCCCCAAAGATGTGCCCATACTAATCCCTGGAACCTGTGAATATGGTGGATTACATGGGAAAGAGGATTAATGTAGCAGATTAAATTCTAATTGCTAATCAACTGACCTTAAAATGAGATTATCCTGAATTAGCCAGGTGAGCCCAACATAAATCACATGGGCCTTCTAAGTGGAAAAGGGAGGCAGAAGTCAGAGAACCAGAGAGATGGCAGTGTGACAAAGACTTGGCTTGACCTCACTGGCCTGGAAGATAGAAGAAGAGGAGCCAAGGAATGCAGGCAGCCTCTAGAGGTTGGAGAAGACAATGAAATGGACTCTCCCTAGAGAATCCAGAAGGAACACAGTTCTGCTGACACCTTGATTTTAGCCTGGTGAGACCCATTTTGGACTTCTGATCTCCAGAACTACAAGATAATAAATTTGTATTGTTTTAAGCCCCTAAATTTGTGTTAATTTATTACAATAGCAACAGGAAATTAATATACCCAGTGAATCATTGACATAAGTGGCCCAGGGCTGAATGTAGGCCAATGGGCGAGGCAGCCTGTTGAAAAAAGAGACTCGCTCTTGATGAATTAATTATTCATTACTTAGTTCATCCAACGGATATTTGGCAACTTACTATGTGCCAGACACTGCTCCAAGTCCTAAGGATATATAGTAAATAAAAGAGAGAAATAGCCCTGCCCTCCCCCCTCAGCTTTATTTTAGCAAGTGAAATAGACAATAAATAAGAAAAATAAATAAACAATATTGGATAGCGGATAGTGGTTAAGTGCTAAGGAGAAAAAAAAAAAGTTATTGCCTGGCTCCTCCTAGGCCCCAGAGCTCTCCGCCCCCATCTGCGTGCTGACTACCCCCAGGCTGCTGCTTCAACAGAGCCACCCTGTTCGTCCTGTTCCAGTATCCGCATCCTTCAGGCATGAAGCTGCCTGGGCAAGTCCCTATGCAATCCCAGTCCAGCCCTAGCCCACAGCCTCCTTTCCCAACAGGATGAGCCACTCTGAAGCCAGCACTTACTCTGAGTTTACCCGAATATCTACCATGATGTGAGGATCTAGCCTGACAGAGTCAAGAAGAACAAATGCTTTCACTCAGGGAGCCCAAACTTTGCGTTCCCATCTGCCTTCCCCCAGCTTGATCCCGACAAGAACTAATGGTCAGGACTGCCAAAGTCCCAGAGAAGCAACTCCATCTTTAGAGGTTTGGACAGACAGAACACACCTTCTCTCCCCTACCTCCTATGGCAGCCTCCCTCCAGCCCTCTGAGTACCTGGGAGAGAAAACTTCCTTGGGAAATCAGCCCTTCACGAGGACAGACCAAACCATGCAATAGCTTCCAGTCCCACTGGGCCAGAGCATCAGCCCCTTTCTCTATATCACCTCTCCCACCCCATCTGAACAACAGGGTCCCTGATAACTGTCAGATGCCTGCAGGAGAAAGAGAGAAAAAGAAGGACAAACTGAGAAAGCTATAGAATGCAATTTGCCCCACCTTGCTCTCCCACTTGGTCTCTCACCCACTGGGCCACCTGCTGAATGTTCTCACTCTTGGTGACATCCAATAAGGTGGTCTGCAGCCGGTAGGAGGTATCTTGTTGAAGCTTCTGGGCCCCCTCCTCAGTGAGACAAGCAGCCAGGACCCGCATGCCTCGATCAACCAGCTGCTTGGCCAGTTGTTTTCCGAAGCCCGAGTCACAGCCTGTGATGAAGACATACTTGTCTGAGAGGTTTCGGACAAGATTGCAGTTCTTGAACCAGCGGTACATAAAGGAGAGGTCCGTGAGAGCCGCCATAGGGCAGGGAAGAGGTGATGGCCAAGAAGGATCAGGCTCAGGAGACAACGGGAGTGGCTGCTCCTCGGACCCTCAGCTGTAGTCTGCTGGAGCCTGCTGACAAGAGCTCTCCTCCCTTCCACTGCTGGCAACACACACAGAGCCCCTGAGTAAGCCACTCTATAATTTTTATAGGTGGATGGATGCATCACCACACCAATTAGCCCTGATGCAAGAAATTCAAGTCTAACTTGAAGCCTTACCACCTGAAATAGCCCTGGACTGACCTTCTCTCTCCCCAAGCTTTGATGGGTGAAGGTGCCAAGAATGGGAAGACCTCAGTGGTGATGTTGGTGTTGAGAGGTGGCTCACCTGGGTGGTCTGAGGAGAGTAAATGAGAAAGAAAGACTCAGCTCAGAAAGCACCCTTGGAAATTTCCCCACCTCTGGTCCAGGGATCAAAATCATTTGTCAGGAGTATAGGTATGTAAATAAACCTAATTTTATTTTTAGAGGGGAAAAAAATGAGACAAATTCATTAATGTAAAACAAACAAAATTGGTTTTGTACCTTCCAAACCCCAAGAGAAATGAATTACAGGTTATTAGCTCTTTGGAATTCTCTGCCCTTAGGTGAGTCTCCATTACGAGAGATGATGAAAAAGAGTTTCTCTCAGGGTAGATTTGTCTCCATTGTCCTGAGGACAGAGGCAGCAGACCCCTCTTATAAAGGAGCCCCCAACTCCCAGAAAGCAGGAAGATTGAAGTTCTCAGGGCCTGGGTCCTTGGGAGGTGGTACTAAGGTCACCAATGAGGACACTCACTCCAAGCAGGCCCAGCTCTGACCCTCACCCAGTGACCAGGCAAATAGAGGGAGTCAAGGACTGAGGACACATTGGCAACCCTGGAGTAGGGCCTCCACTGGGCCCTGTACTGGGCATTTTTCTTCTACCCCCAGGACCAGACACACATAAAATGATCTGGTGATCTGAGAAGACTGGGAGGTAGGGGTGATGATGGTGGAAGGAAGGGACTATGAAGTCAACTGGCACAGTGGCTAGCTGCATATGCAGAGAGAAAGGAAGTCAGGAGTCAAAGTAATTATAAGGAATGGGGCTGGTAACAAGTAGAACCACAGGTAGCAAGAATAATAGGGAGGAGGAACACTTCAGGCATAGGGAACAAACCCAAAGCCTGTATTGAAGTGATAGAAGCAACCCTCACTTACTTCATAGCCACTCCAAGGCAAACACCTCCTACACTGGATCTAGGAAACATTTCCCAACTTGGCCTCCTGAGTGAGTGAACAGGGAAGTCTTGGTTGGGAGATGTCAGATAACATCACAAGGTCTAAGCAGGCTCAGGAGTAACCCAGTTCTTGAGAAGACAGGTAAGACCCAGGGGTTGCCTCTGGGTCTTTTTTTTTTTTTTTTTTAAATTTTACTTTTGTTTAAAATATTACAGATGTCCCCTTTTCTCTGCAATGACCCATTCCACCCATCCCTTCCCCCTCCCCAGTCCCTCTCTCCATCATTGTCCGTGTCCTTGGGTTCTGCATATATGCTGATAAATTCTTTGGTTACTCTCTCCCCCTCCACCACCCGCCCTCCTCCATCCCTCTGACATTCGTCAGTCCCATCTATGCTTCCATGTCATTGAATCTATTCTGTTCATCAGTTTATTAAATTCTTTAGATTCCACGTATAAGCGGGATCATGTGATGTTTGTCTTTCCCTGCCTGGCTTATTTCACTTAGCATTATATTCTCCAGGTCCATCCATACTGTCCCAAAGGGTACGAGATTCTTCTTCTTTACAGCTGAGTAGTATTCCATGGTGTAAATGTCCCACAGCTTTTTTATCCACTCATCTACTGATGGGCACTTGGGCTGTTTCCAGATTTTACCTATTGTAAACTGTGCTGCTACNCCACTATGTGGGATGTCTGTGACTTTACTGCCTATGTTTTCTTCCAGGATTTTTATGGTTTCTTGACTTATATTTAAGTCTTTTATCCATTTTGAGTTTATTTTTTTGTATGGTGAAAGTTGGTGGTCTAATTTCATTCTTTTGCATGTATCTGTCCAATTTTCCCAGCACCACTTATTGAAGAGATTGTCTTTACTCCATTGGATACTCTTGCCTCCTTTGTCAAATATTAACTGTCCATAATGGCGTGGGTCTATTTCTGGGGTGTCTGTTCTGTTCCATTGATCTATATGCCTGTTGTTGTACCAATACCAGGCGGTTTTGATTACAGTGGTTTTGTAATACAGTTTGAAGTCTGGTAATGTGATCCCTCCCACTCTGTTCTTTTTTCTCAAGATGGCTGCAGCTATTAGGGGTCTTTTTTGGTTCCATATAAATTTTTGAAATGTTTGTTCTAGGTCTGTGAAATATGCTGTTGGTATTTGAATAGGAATTGCATTAAATTTATAAATTGCTTTGGGTAGTATAGACATTTTTATGATATTAATTCTTCTAATCCATGAGCATGGTATATTCTTCCACGTGTTTAAATCTTCCTCTGTTTCTTTTTTCAGTGTCACGTAGTGCATCTGGATCTTGAAAAGGATGACTTGGGACTGCCCCAACACAGGCCTGGGCCTAGCCTACAACCTCATAGGTCTTTCTGTTGACCTCTTGTTAAGGCAGTGCTCTCTTAGACTCAAACTCCTAACATCACAAAATTCAGGCCATGGATGAAGGCTTAGAGTGCTGCAGGACCATAGAGAAGGCTCTTTTCTTGGGGTTGGGAATGCCACCTACTCTCAGATGACAGGCTTCCCTGCTAAGTTGGCACCTGAGGCTGATGGATCAGCCATGTGGTTGCCCTCCACATCTCTGCTTCTGTCCACAAGTATCTTCAGTGGAGAGAGGCCTTCACCTTCTCCATGCCATTTCCATCCTGTGGGAGGGGGAGACTGGCCAGAGCCCAGGCACACTCTGAGGAGGTAAACAGAGGCAGAAAAGATGGAGCTGATGTTCACTCCTTCCCAAAAGTGTGAATTCAGGGCCATGAGGCTCAGAGCCTTGAGAAACTGCTCAAGGAACAGGGCACATATTGTGTGCTATTGGGTCCCTGCTCCTCATTCTCAAAACGTAGTTCTTTCCTCCTAATATAATCAGAGTCCCAGGAGAAGCCTGGGTCAGAGGTAAGGAGGTGGGTAAGCTACATGACCCTAGAGACTGGAGTGCTTCCTCCCTCCACCCTCTTTCCCTCCCCATAAAGCATCAACCCTCATATAGCACCCCAACTAGACCTTCCATGTACCCTAGTCTTGGTTACATGGCCTTGGAAGGACTTGGGCAGCTCCAGTAGACCACAGCACCCACCAGGAAATTGTGCAAGTAACTCACAAGGAGGTATGTGAGCTTGGCTTCCCAGCCAGGTGAGTATCAAGTGCACTCATTACCAAGGATAAATTCAACTTGCATTTTTTCAAAAAGATTTTTACTTATTTTGATGTCTGTTCAAAATAAGAAAAGATCCTTACATACTCCCCCACCCCTCCTCTACAGTTCATGGCTCTAATTTGGGAAGAAAATTTCAAAGAACTCCCTCTCTGGCTTCAGTTTCCTCTTCAACATAATGAAGGCTTCACATGACACAGTGGTCCCCAGACCTAACAAACCTAAACCCTCTCTTTAGGTTACTAGTTGACCACACGGAATCGTGGGTATGAAGCTAAATATCCCCACTGCGTGGGTGAGTCAGCCAGGAGGATGAACCTGAGACTGTAGGAGGCTTTAATGATGAAACCAGGCTTCCAGAAATTGGGTTTGCTTATCTCCCTACGTTCCACAGTTCACTCACTAGACACCAGGAATTTCTCTCCATAGATCTCCTTGACCTTTGGGCTGGCCCGATCCCATGCCTCCTTGAAGCCCTAAGAAAACATCTCAGGGTTGCTCATTGGTTTCAAAGTAGTTGGGCTTGATTTTCAAGGATCCCCTGAAACCCCAAAGTGGGAGAGCTCCCTTCTGTAAGGCACACAGGCAGGGGGGGCAAGGATTTTAGAGGTCTTGGGAGACAAACAAAAACAATACAATCTTGGAGTAAGATAAGCTTGAAAGCTTGGGGAGTTGTGAAGTGTAGCAGACAGGGAGAGAAAACTCATAAAGATGAAACAGTCTCTGGGTAGAGTTGAAATATTTATCCATATATTTTACATATACAAAAATATTAGCTCTAAATCATACTTATTCTGTTGTAAAGCACTACTTAAATGCTATCTCCTCTTTCTCCTGACATTCTGTCAATCTCCAGAGTTTTCCCTTTTTACCTCCTCCATACTCCTCAGTCACCTTCCTCCCCTCTCCTGCTCTAGTCAACTCCCTGGCAATCTGTCCTCTAAGGAGTATCTCTCTGCCTGTGGTCTCAGTTTCCTCACATTCAGAGTCATCCTCTACCCTCCAGCCAGTGGGTTCTCTAGAGGCTGAGCTAGCAAAGTAGCTCCCCTGATTTAATCTTTTCCATGGGGTTGTGCTGCCGCCAACAGCATGAAAGTTTGTAGCCTGTCAAGGGAGAGCCCACATCCCTTCATAAGCCCACCATGCCCACCTTTCCAGCATCCTTCCTGCCAGGCCAGGCCTCGTTGTTTATCCTTGGAGGACCCCACAGTATAGGCAGTCAATCATTATTCACCCTTACTTCCCACATCCAGATGACTTCCCACCTATTGTCAGGTTGCCAAGTTCAATTTTTCCATCCTTAACTCAGACCCCTCTCCATGACCCTCCCCTCATTCCACTGGCTACCACGCCACCATAGCTAACATGGTCACAATCATCATAAGTGATGGCCATACCATTTCTGTATCTCTTGTCCCTTTCTCGGCTGCCAGAGTTTTTAGGTCAGGGACCAAATCTTGTTATCCTCAGACATTAATTGTGCACTCACAGAAGTGCCCAGAAGTATCTGTAGAACTGAGTTAAATGCTTTTACCCCAGCTCAAGGATCCCCTGAAACTGAATATCATAGGGATTAAGGACATGGGCTCTGCGGCCAAGTTATCCTAGTTCCAATTCTGCTTCAGTCACTTTCCACCTGTGAGCCCTCCTCCAGGTCAGGGAGAGGCTGAATCAAATTTTATAAACCTGAGGTCCATCCCAATCCTCAAAAGATAAAATGCACTTCCTTCTGAATGCCTAGCACAAAGCAAGAGAGAGGAATCTGGAAGAGCCTCTGAGGTTGTGTGAAACGAACTCCCTAGAAAAGTCCTCCCCAGAAGCACAGAAGCAGGAGGACCGAGGGCCTTTGTACCAGGCCAGTATCTGAGGAGAGGCAGTAGCCCCCACCATACAAGGCTACACAACCCAAGATGCTGGAGACATTGACCATGCGGCCCCTCGCCTTTCTCACCAGGGACAGCAGACTCAGGGTCACCTCGATCACCCCCAATAGGTTCACATTGGGCATCTTTGTGAAGTCCTGTTTGGTCAGCCATCACTGGGTGCCGTGGGCACAGAGACACCAGCGTTATTCACCAGGCCCCAAAGACCTGGGCAATGGGGTAAAAGAGCAACACTGTGCTATGACCCTGTAGTGAGGACACATGTGTAGTTCCTATTCACATTCCAATTAAGTTTATTTTATTAAGTCAACAACAGTGTGTTACATGGTATAAGGGAAAAGTTTAGGAGAGGAAATAGGAACATGGTGATTACAGGGTATCAGGGATTGAAAACACGTTTAGCAGGGACAATCCTTCTCATTCTTCTGCTCCTCGGTGCCTGGCACACACAGTAGGCAATAAGCCCATCTTTGTTAAGTGTATGGACAGAGTTTGAGATAATAGAGTAGTATTCAACAATATCTTATAGGAGAGAGATATAGACAGGTAGATACAGACAGGTATAAATGGGTAAGAGGCAGCAATGAAGGGAAAACTAGAGAAAAGGAAACAGGGAAGAAAGGGGAAAAAAAGGAAAAGAAAAAAACCATGAAGAGTTACTTTCCACACATTGCTTGGGAAAGACATACACTTGAAATCCCAGGGCTAGAGTAGAGACAGGCTGCGTTGGACGTCAAAAGACTAGCTTTGAAACAACCTGCATCAATTTCAAGGCACTATCTGCTCAGGGAGCCAAGTTCACCTTCTATGCTAGGAAATTCCAACGTTCACCCTGGGGTGAAGCCCAGGGCAGGCTTAGGGAAAAGGTGAGGAGGCCTCCTGCCACATCTAGGGTACACTGCACCCTTTACTCCAGGAAGTGTCACCGTCTCCTTTCACCCTCCCAAAGGCCACCCTTGCCCAGTCCCCCTAGTTCCCTAACCCACTCAGCTTTCAGGAAACCTCCGCGGCAGAGACGGGAGGGGGGCGGGGACACGGACGGACGACGACAGGCAACGAGGATTGGGGTACAGGCCCTCGGACCTCAAATCAGCAGGTGCTGGTGTTACTGGTGAAAACAAGTTCTTTTGCATTGTTTCAAATAGCACACCCGTGTGGAAGTTTAAACGTGACGGCAAGATTTTACTTGGTATTAAGAGAATTAATACACCCTCAGGGGACATAGAGGGCGGGCAGGCTCTATAAGCAACTGCCACAGGGCTCCTGTTAATCCTCCATATTTTCTTGGCTCAGGGTAAAGAGCAAGGTGCCATTCTAACCATCAAATCCAATTTTCTGATTCTTCCCGGGCTTGAGTCGGGCCCTCCTCCCAACCAATCCTTTTCCTCTACCTCCGGGGGTTCCATGGCCTCTATCCAATCCGAACACCTCCCAGTTTTTCCCAGGCTAGGCTCCGCTCCTCTACGTCGTCACCCTGGCTCTCACTGCGCAAGTCCAAAAGGAAACACCGTACTCCCCGCTCCAGCGCTAGCTTGACTTTTATTGCGCATGTCCAAAAGTTCTGTTACGTAATCTGGTTTCTACTGCGCATGTGCCCAGCGGAGGAATTTCCCCTCCCCCTTCCTGTGGGAATCCAGGCTGGGCGGGCGCCTCAGGGGAGATTTCCCAGCCTGCTCTGAGGATTAAGTCTCCTGGGTGGCAGTCCCCTGGAGTGTGTGAATGAATCCGTTTATGCTATAGCTTCCCAGCAAACTCAATGGAATGTTGTCCTGATATCTTCTTCAGCTTCCCAGTTTATTAAGCTTATTATTTGATTCCCTTTTGCTTCCTTCCTTATATTAATAACTAGCTAGTTATGATGATAACACGAGGTTTTCGGTGAGTTGGGGATGGTGAAGGGAGTGGGGGTTAACAGGGTTTGACCTTGGGAATATTGGAAACAGAACAAGATTCTGCAGTATTAGTCCCTGCCCTGCTCAGAAACCTTCCCTGACTTCAAAGAAATGCATATTCTTTGATTCAATTCTTTAATTTTACTTCAATAACATTACTTGAAAATGTGAACAAAATGCACCATACTTCTCTGTACAGGTGCATCCCCTCTCTCACACAGTACCCAGTTCTGCCTTACAATGCATCACAGTCTTGGGTCACACAGCCTTCGCAGGTGTTGGGGTATTCCAGCGGTTGATGGCATCCACCAGGAAGGTGGGCATGTAGCTCATGGGAATGTAGATGAGCTTGGCATCCCAGCCAACTGCGTATCGGGTGCGGGGATGGCAGGCAGTCAAAGCATGTTCCATGCAGTCTGTCGCCAAGGATAGATCCTTCTTGCAATTTTTATCCAAAATCCAATTAATTTCATGTCTGTCCAGAATGAGAAAGGATCAAGATAAGATGTCTTCCCATCTCCAACCACTCCCACATTAAGAGCAATTTGCAGAAATAGTTTCTAGAATTCCTGGCCCCCTACATTGAATCCATCCAAATTCCTTAGAGACTGCCTCCCTCCTACCCCAGGCACAACTGTGTCACTCTCATCCACCTCTGGCTTTATTCCTGGGAATATCTGGAACACATAAACTGAAGGTGTCCACAAATACTAGAAATCTAAGTGCCTGAAAGCCAGCTCCTCTAACACTAGCTAACCAGGAGTTCATGAGAGTCTTTTCTCTCTGGCTTTAGTTTCCTCCTTAACAAAATAAGTTCACATAAGACAGTGGTGCCAGGTCTAATAAGCCTGGGTCCTTTCGTTAGGTTACCAGTTGACCACATACGGCCATGGAGGTAGAACTAAAGGTCCCCTGTTCGTGGGTAACTCAGAGCACAGAGGTTGGACTGGAGACTGTAGGAGGTACTAATTATGAACCTAGCTTCTGGAAAATGGTTTGCTTCTGTCTTCATGATTCACACAGCTCACTCACTGGATGCCAAAAACTTCTCCCCATAGGCCTCCTTGACCTCTGGACAGGTGTGATCCCACGACTCCTGTAAGCTCTTAGAAATCATCTCAGTACTGGTCATAAGAGTCTTGAAGTATCCGGGCTCAATGATAGACACTTTCACCCCAAATTTGGAGAGCTCCCTCCTGCAAGGCACACAGACAGAGGGCAAAGACTTCAGAGGTCTTATAAAAGAAAACAACACCTGAAAAGATAAAAACCAATCCAATAAAACAGCAATATAAGATTGCAAGAGATTAAGTTCAAAAGTCTGGGGAGTTGTGAAGTACAGAAAACGGGAGGAGAAAGCTTATGATAGTATTGCCTCTCTACAGAGTTTGAGTATTTTTATAAGTATTTATATACATTTGCTTATAACTCTAAATCCTACCACTTACGCTGCAAAGCACCATTTAAATCATATCTCCTTGTATTTCTGTCATATGCAATCAAAAACTGAGCAGTGGCCTGGCTGGCATGACTCAGTGGTTGAGCATAGACCCATGAACCAGGAGGTCATGGTTCCATTCCCGGTCAGGGCACATGCCCAGGTTGTGGGTTCGAACTCCTGTAGAGGGCATGCAGGAGGCAGCTGATCAATGACTCTCTCTCATCATTGATGTTTCTCTCTCTCTCCCTCTCCCTTCTTCTCTCTGAAATCAATAAAAACATATTATTTATTTATTTTTTATTTTAAAAAAATATATCTTTATTGATTTCAGAGAGAGGAAAGGAGGTTGGAGAGAGAGAGATAGAAACATCAATGATAAGAGAGTCATTGATCAGCTGCCTAGCCCGCAACCCGAGCATGTGCCCTGACCGGGAATCGAACCCCGATCTCCTGGATCCTAGGTTGATGCTCAACTGCTGAGCCACGCCCGGCAGGGCAAAACATATTTTTTTAAAAAACAACCAAACAAAAACTGAACTGTGCTTATTTTATCTTTCCCATGCTCCTCAAGCCCCTCCCTCTTCTCTCCCACCCAGGTCAACCTCCAGGCCATCTGTCCTCTAAGGAGCATGTCTCTGCCTGCAATCTCAGCTCCCCCACATCACAGCCATCCTCAGCCCTGTAGCCAGTGGAGTCTCTACTGCTGAGGTGATAAAGAAGCTCCTCTGAATAAAGTGCTTCCCTGGGGCTTCACTGCCAACAGGGCTCCGGAACCCAATTATCCCAGCAGTTATGTACATGAATGGGCTGCACAGCTGAATAGTATTGGTTCCCATTCTGCCTCAGATGCTTTCTGACTGTGGGCAGGAACAGGTTGAATCAATTCTATTGCCCCAAGGCCCATCTCAACCCTAGAAAATAAAAATGTGCTTCCCAATGAATGCCTGGCACAAAGCAAGAGAGAAGGATCTGGAAGGAAGAACCTCTGAGGCTGTGTTGAAATCAACCCTTTGGAAAAGGTTCCCCCCCAAGAACAGAAGCAGAATTAAGGGAGGGCCTCTGTCGTGTCCAATACCTGAGGGAGTCCGAGAAGGCCTCAACGCCATACTTGGAGATGCAGTAGCCACCACCAAGCAAGGATAAACGACCCAAGATGCTGGAGACGTTGACCACGCGGCCCCTCGCCTTCCTCACCAGGGACAGCAGACTCAGGGTCACCTCAATCACCCCCAACAGGTTCACACTGAGAATCTTTATGAAGTCCTGTTTGGTCAGCCACTCATTGGGTGCCGTGGGCACAGAGATGCCAGCATTATTCACCAGGCCCCAGAGACCTGGGCACACAGAAGGGAGAGATTTGATGAGGCAAGACTGATTTTACGGAAATCTAGTGAGTCCACAGTATGGCTCACAGAGAGCCATGTTTGAGTTTTCCCACATCAATTCTGTCCCGATGAGGGAAAGAGACACAGACAGAGAGAGGATGAAGAATGAAGAGGAAGAAAGGAAGAAAACCACTTTTATAAATGACAAGATTAAAGATGGTGAACTTTGGTTGGGTAAAACAGACCAGAAATCTCAGGTGTGGAGTAATGTGTAGAATAGGATTGGGATTGACCTCAGGAACTGGGCTTGGACACACACTGTGGTAATATGGAACAATGATCCTGCAGGAAGCTCTGAGAATTCCAAGGGCAGGCTTCGAGGGAGACCCAAGGCTGCCTCTCCCTCACTCAAGCATGGACTTCACTCTCAGCCCCAGACAATACCACCCTTTCCTCCCACCTACACAGTAAGCCACTCTCCTCCCACCCCCTGGATGACCATTTACCCAGCTTCATGGAAACCTCTCTGCAAGAGCAATGATAGTCCTGAGGATGGAAAAATTTACCAACCACCACCGTCAGGGCAACAGGAGCAGGGATTAGGAGGACACAGGGCAAGGGCTGGCAGTGGGAATCTGGAAATACTGACCCCAAGAGCTGAGTCTCTGGCTTGCTCAGATACACCCTGCCCTTATAGGAGTCACATTCTCACACCACATATATTCCTTCTAAGAACTGAATCAATGCACATAGTTACAGAGACTTGGGTAAAAAAAAAAAGTTTCCCAAGATATCATTTATGTTGACTATGATGAATAAAAAATAGGAAACAATTTTATATCATACCATAAGATACTGCTATTGTAAATAATGTTACTCAGAAAGAAAGAATATTCTCTATTATTAAAAATGAAGGTTTTTGTTTTCCTTAAAATCAGAAACAAGACAAGGATGACCTCTTTCACCACTTCTCTTCAACACAGTTTTGGAAGTCCTAGCCACAGCAATCAGACAAGAAAAGAAATAAAAAGGCATCCAATTGGAAAGGGTACATAGGAGATGATATTATACAGATAAAACTTCAAAGAGTCCACAAACAAACTATTAGAACTGATAAATGAATTCAGTAAAAGTAGCGTGATAAAAAACTAATATTCAGAAATCAGTTGCATGAAAACATTTTTTTAAATCCTCACCTGAGGGTATGTTTATTGATTTGAGAAAGAAGAAAGGAGAAAGAGAGAGAGAAAAGCATAAATGTGTGAGAGAAACATCTATCAGTTACCTCCCGTATGCATCCCGACCGGGGATCTAACCCACAACCTAGGTATGTGCCCTGACAGGGAATTAACCTGGCAACCTTTTGGTGTATGGAACGACACTCCATCCAACTGAGCCACCCGGCCAGGGCCTGGTTGCGTTTTTTAAAAATATGCTTTTATTGCTTTTAGAGAGAGAAAAGGAGAGGGAGAAAGAGATAAAAAACACTGATGAGAGAAACATTGATTGGCTGCCTCCTGCATGCCCCATACTGGGGATCAAGCCTGCAACCCAAGCATGTGCCCCAACAGGGAATCGAACCAGCAACCTCTTGGTGCACAGGATGATGCTCGACCACTGAGTCACACCGGCTTGGCTCAGTTGCATTTTTATATGCCAATAACGACCCATAAGAAAGTGAAATTAAGAAAGCAATCCCATTTAAAATCTCATTAAAAAACAAACAAACCTATGAATAAATTTAACCAAAGAGGTCAAAGACCTGTACTCAGAAAACAATAGGACGTTGAAGAAAGACATTGAAGAAGATACAAATAAATAGAAGCATGTACTATGCTGATGGATAGAAAGAAGTAACCTTGTTAAAATGTCCATACTTCCCTAGTCAGTTTGGCTCAGTGGTGAGTGTTGGCCCATGGACTGAAGGGTCCTGGGTTAGATTCCAGCCAAGGGCATATACCTTGGTTGCAGGCTCGATCCCCAGCCCCCCGTTGGGGCATGTGCTGGAGACAACCAATTGATGTTTCTCTCTCTCTCGTCACCCC